TGCCCCTGGCCACTCACATACAACACCCAGCCATACCTGTGGAAAATCACATCCACACCAATCACCCATTTAAGAGATAATAGATACCAGTCAAATGGTAAATGCAAACCCAACTGCCATACTGGTGACCCCCAAAATGACACGAACACGGCTTATCACTCACTCACTGGAGGGAGAGTACCTGCAGCATTGTCACCCCACAACCTATAGCTCGACATAAGCCTCACCATCAACCGCTTCTCAATGACTCAATGCCAAGATCTGATTGGATGACACGGACAACTCATGGCTCATTCATTGGGCCGCAGGCTCCCCTCATTCCCAGATAGCTGACACATCCTAAGAATACTTAAGCTCAAGCACACTGGCATTCCCTCGATCCTCCAACTGAGGACAGTCACAAGCAGCAGGAGTACAAGGCTTGCCCAAGCCTTCGCCGACGGGAAAGCTTCCCCACCTGTGGCATTCAAGGTTTCTAGCAAGATGAAATTCTGCCTTAACCTTGGGTGTTCGTCAATGGACGAGTGTTTCGCGCTTACAGGAATCCCACAGAGCTACAGTCATCAGGATTTTTGGAGTACTGTCAATCGATCACAGATAACTGTGGTGAACCTCCTAAGACACTCCTCCCCCATTATGCCCAAGTAAACCACCCTGGAGTGGATACTGGAGAGATTGGGGCTTTTGAAGTGGACCCAAAGGGTAGCCACACTCAGTCTATGGTCGGTACCACAGACCTTGGCACTCTGGTAAACCGTGTAGTTTTGGAGGATCCTCAAGTGAGTGCTCGCAATGATGTGGTCGATATCCTTTCCTCTGTACCCATATTGCTATTTCATGTCCAATGAAATGGGTTGGAGCGCTTATACTAGGAGCCAGAAATCCCGTCTGACTGATGTCAGAGGAGACTGTTCTCGTTGCTGAGATCAGCTCCCAAGTCATGAGACCAACATACATCTCGTAGACAGCTCGATCACAACCAGAGACTATACTGAATTTACCCAGAACTATTTGTTTGGTGTAGAATGTCTCTTTCTCATTGGCAGGAGTGTATACAGCAAATCCAAATCCAAAAGCATGCTTCAATCTCAATGTCACAAAATGTTCGTCAACTGGAGTAACGTCCACTACCGAAAGTTTAAGACGGCTGACGATGGCTTTGGGGATGGTGACCCTCACTTCGGTTAAGCCTTGGGCAGTCGTTCTATAAAGGGTGCAATACATGCAATACCTACTTCCCACGTGTGGTCCTCCACACGTGGTGTGGGGCCTGCCCACGCTATCGCCCAAACCTCGCTCTTCTAAATATAGAGGCCATGCCGTCCACCAAGGGGTATATAAGGTCATCCAAGCTGACCTTCTCACTCACTCATTCACTCACTCAGCTCACACCTTCAACGGTCCGGCCCCTTGGTGGGCTGGTCGCTACTGACCTGACCTCCCGCACCGCCAGTTATCCTATTTCTTGTGTCGCTATAAACAGTGCTTGTAACTTTTAGCAATAAAGAGAACAGCCACACCGTGCATCACTGACACCACCTTGTACTTCAAAGACACTATAAAAACAAGAGAGATTAGAACATCTTATACGCTCTGGGTGGACGCCACCTCCACCACCTCCTTGCCTTGCCACATGTAAAGCAGGACAGCCGGCGGTGAGGCCCAACGTCCACACACACACACACACACACACAGACGCACACGCACACGCACACATACACACACACACACACACACACACACACACACACACACACACACACACACACACATATATATATATATATTATATATATAATATATATATATATATATATATATACATGCACGTATGTATGTATATTTACATAATACATACATACATACACACACACACACACACACACACACACACACACACACACATATATATATATATATATATATATATATATATATATATATATATATATATTCCTTTTTCATTTATCAAGCTTTCAGGAAACGGTTTGTGCTCATTTCTAGAATTTGATGTAAAGCAAAGTAGAAAAAATGTTTAGGGATAGAAACGTTGAAATAAGCATTCATAATGTATATAATGAAAAAAATAGTGAATGCGACTTGTACGGAGACCCTAAATTACAATCTACAGTAAATAGAACAGGAAATAAATCCAATCGTATGTCTATATTCTAATTGTTGTCCTCTGGGTGTTTGAACTGTGTCATGTTGACGTAAAGGCAGCCCGGGTGTTTTGAAAATTAGTGTTGGTTACCGCTTGTTTATGGATTGGGTTGAGGTGACGAATGTATAACCATCTTCAAGTACAAACTGTCACACATTTTCCATTATAATTTGATTCAGGTTTTATATCTTCGATGAACAGTGATCCTAAAAGTGTTCATTCTGAATTGACATTTTCCTAATTTATTTCATGGGATTGTCCGATAAAACTCCTTCAAGTTCCTTATGTCATTTTAGGTATCTAGAGGCAGAATCCATTTATCTGGCGTTTCGGCTAAAACATGTAAATTTGATCATAGATATGGCAGTGACTCTCATCGAAAAGAACGAACCAATAGTACTGGAATTTGTAAATATTCTTCAGCAGATTTAGGAAAGTAGCAGTTGAATACAATGAGTAATTCTTTCTGGTAATATAACTTTGGTGTCCCTATCTCTTGGACCTTTTAACTTTGTAACGTTGGCTATAACGTCTAATTTAAGAAGTCCAGTACATTCTTCTTGATAAGGTCAACTGGATATTTATTCTTCCTGAAAAAGTTATCATAAATGACAGTTTTCCTCTGAGCATACTTGAGAACATCGGGAAGTAGAGTTTGGATTGCTTTAATTCACTAAAATGTTTACAGAATGATCAGAGCATTGTCATAACCCGGCTACAATAATAATGATAATGATCATAGTAATGATGATGAAGTTGCAAATGATGACAGTGGTGATGATGGTGATGATGATGAGGACTGATGATTAATGATTGATAATTGAGGGTGTAATTTATATAAAGATTTATATACAAGCAAGACAATTTTATTTCATTACAACCTACATGCAATAACCCATTATGTAAAATTACATACTTAATCAACAACGGATAATCATCTAACAATAATTTGGAATAATCATGACGTGATTAACGTAACATACCATATAAATGCTAAATGCCTATACTTTCTTTTTACATATGAGATAGAGAAATGTTCATATAAACAAGTTTAGAACAAAAATGTTCAGGCAAATCACCTCTAAAGGTGATAAATGCACAGACAATCAAGTTTGAAACAATGTTATACAAGTTTTTCACATTTTCTAAGAGCAATTGAATACTTGATGGGAGTACTTAAGTATTACTCAGGTTCAAGAGAAAGAAATGTTTAACTACTCAAGTTAAGACAAATAGATTTCTGAATTCCAATACAAGTAAAACAGTTCTCACTGCTGGGACGAAGTGGGGCAACTACTATAAGCCACGTCCACAGTAGTAGTGAGAGGTCTTAGAACACTAGTCTATGGACTTGTCCACACTGGGGGCGAGTGAAATGTACATTAATTTTACTCAGTAGAAAGGCGCAAAGGAAATGCTAGATAGAAAGTTTCCTCAGTTTACTCATATAAGAAAGAAAGAAGAGTAAAATGAAAGAAATATGTGTTGGGGTTTATTCACATAAATTGCTCAACATGGGTACTGGGAAGATAAGATGCAGAAAGTCAAGAAGCTACAGACTACTATAATACTAATCAAGATGATATGCTGCTGAGAATACTGCAAGCTGGTCATGTCATGTCATGAACAAGAATTAGTCACTATTAATGATTAAATCAAATAACACTGACGTTAAGTACTCATTACAACTAATGAAAAAAAAAATATATGCCCCAGGGTATATCTGTGGCTCAAAAAATCAACATACATGTAAATATTTCTAGTTGATATCTGTGTCAATTAATGATAACATAATTAAATTAGGAAGTTACAGGGTTCTTCCAGGGTCATGCTCACTTTTGCACCTGATTACTCCCTAAACAGGTTTGGACACAAAGCCTCAGAAGAAAATAGGGTTCTCTTTCGTAAACTTTTCATCGATATTGTAACAAGAAAGTTTTAAGTAGTGACAACTGAGGCGGTGTTGGGCGGCGTCTTACCTCCCGAACGACGTTTGTTGACCGGTTCGTCTGTGTCATTTGAATGAAGTCGAGCTCATAAGTAAACAAATCATTCTTAAAGATCATCGGCTGCCGAGGGTTGCGAAGGTAATGCTGCTCTATGTCTTCTGAGGTTATGCTGCTTTTGAGGAATGCTCTTTTAGTTGTGTCTACTTCTCCATACTTCACCCACTCATTATTCCCATCCAAGAAATACCACAAGAACAGTTTATCTGCATTGCTATCTCGTTCTAGGCTGATATGTCGTAGTTGTAATGGTGTCCGAGAATCAGGACTAGTAACTAGCATGTCTTCAAAGTCTACCTCGCATTTCCTTGTGCCCAGGATTCTTTGAAGTTTCTTATGTACACTCCAACCCTTTGTTTCAAGAATGACTGATCTGGTTTTGCTTGGATCAGAAAAATCTCTTTCCAAATAGACGACTTGGTATTTATGGAGGTTGAACCAATTATTGCCATCAGCACTTACCTGCCAGTGAAAGGGTAAGTCGGAATGGAGTCGCTGGCAGCTGTGAGCATTACAATTATTTTTCAGTGATCTCGAACAAATCTCAAGTATCTGAAGATTTCCTTCTAACTCGGAAGCTTCAATAGTCAAGTGACTCCCGGTCGTTGGTGCTCGAGGAGTTGCTCTGCGATGTCGAGGGGGGGAGGGGAGGGGGAGGGGAATGATGCCGATGCGAGGGATTGCTTTTCCCTGAGGGTTGCCTGTTTGCCTTTTCCAAGTCCGGGAAAAGTCTAAATATTTCATTCATAAGGTCCTTTGGAGATTCATTAGTGTCAATACCTTTTTTTTCGAGAAGGTCATTGCAGCCTGCGTCCACAAAAGAATGGTTT